AGCAAAACAAGGAATTAATTCACTGCTTCCCAAAGACAGGAGGTGTTTAGCCATCTCCAGGAGAGCAGGGTCCCATCACGCATAACGGTTCCTTGGGAATACAGACGCCATCACTCCAGATGTCCCCCCTTCCTCCTTCTTCCTCCCACCTTATATACTGAGCATGATGTCATATGGTATGGAATATCCCTTTGGTCAGTTTGGGTCACCTGTCCCAGCTGTGTCTCCTCCCAATCTCCCATGCATCCCCAACTTCCTTGCCAGTGTGGCAGTACGGAAAGCGGCAAAGGCCTTGACTCTGTGTAAGCTCTGCTCAGCAATAACAAAAACATCTCTGCATTATCAGCTCTGTGTTCTGCACAAAACCCAAACATAGCCCCATATTAGCCTCTGTGAAGAAAGTTAACTCTACTTCAGCTCAAACCAGCACAGATTCTTAATACTTCAGATATTAGGGTCTGAATTGTTTGTAAATTTAACTCTATATAAAAAGTTTAAACAGTATTTGTGAGAGAGGATTAATTGCTTGTAAACAGTCTATTTTCCACAAGGTATTTGCTGTAAATTGTGGTTGTAGTTATGATTTTTTTATTTTTTTTTCTAAATATTCCTGAAAATAACACTGTTGTAGTTAATGTCTCTCCAAATTGTTGTTTAAATTTTTGTTTAGCTTACACAGTGGAAAAGCCAAGCAAAAGAAAATAAACTTGGGAATCTATTTTCTCATGAATCTGCATATGGTATTGGAAATTTCAGTCCTCTCAAAACAACTGCCAGGGCATTTACTGTGTCACAGAATTCAGTAAAAGAGGTAAAGCAGTGTCTGTAGTGTTTATCAAATCTATCAAATTTTAAATTTGTTTGGTTGGATAACTGGATCAGTAAGCTTTATGCAGAACTAAATTAAATAAGTTTATTTTTGTGGAAGTTAGTGTGGGAGAGAGAAATATGGAAGGTACATCACTGCCCTTTCAGCACTGCAGTATTTGCTTTGTAAGTTTGATTTGGAGTAAAAATGGTGCATTAGGAAGTATAACCTGGTACTTCAAAACTGCTAATAGTGTGAACACTTCAAACGGTTCACTGTTAGCAGGGCTCCATAAACCTTCATCTCTGGGGTTACATCTAAGAATTATATATATATCTTCACTCTACATTTTGCTGTGGATATACATGAAACCTGAAACTGCAGGCACCTATGAGTCTTTGTCTTTCATTCAAAGTTTTCTAAATTAATAGATTTCTAATATTTTTTTTTTTCTGACCTCCCCTTACATTAGTGTAATCGGTCAAATTTGTCATCCCCTATTGCCAAAGTTGGTCAACCTCGTTTAACAAAATTGACAAGAATGCGAACTGATAAGAGTGAATTTTTGAAAGCATTGAAGCAAGATAGAGTGGAAGAGGAACGTGAGGACGAGAATCATGCTGGGCAAGAGAAGGTAGTTTTGTTCATATATATTGTAGATCCAGCAGTAACAGTTCTCAGACTGAACATAAGCTACTTTTTATTTGACAGTAAACAGCTGTTAAATCATGGCCTTAATGTCCAAATGAAGGAAAGTAATTACCTTTTGATGAATTTTTAAAAGTTGCACCAAGTACTACTCTTTCTTCAGTGCTTCTTAGTTTCTTTTTTTTATTTCTGCAGTATCTGTTCATACATGTTAGAGACAGATGTCCTAGAGGTTATTAGCAACAATAAAGTACACTAACCTAATCTTTGTGGGGGGCAGTGTTTCACATCTTGGCTGTTAGTGATCCTAGAAAACAATGGCAAAACTTGGTTCTGCTTCTTAAACCATTTCCTTTCTAATTTGAGTGTTTAGATAGCCAAAAGTTCTCTATTCTTGGTCTACTTATAGAGGCCGTAGTTTGATTTATACATATATAAAGAATCTGGTTTTACTTCATAATTGAGAACTTGGAGGTCTATACTGTGTATAATGTTATGTGTCAATTTTCTTTCAATTTGAATCAGTTTATGCAGTGCATAGCTGGCACCAGAGAATATTTTCTCAGTGCTAACAGCCACCAAGAAGCCATAAGCATAGTTATCATACATAGTCCAAGTGAAGAAATGTAATGTATTACTCAGGGCAAGGCAATTAAAAGCCTGTGTTTGCTCTAAATGAGTGATTTAAAGTGTAAACAGAAAAAGGGGCACAAATTACAAATCAGCCAGACAAAGAAAATGACTGGTTTTGAGGAAGGGCTATTTAGATACACGAAAAAAGAAACAGTGCCAGTGTGCATTGCTCATAAAAGTAAGATTCACTTTTTTTGACCCTGTTCCTATTTCAGGCAAAATAAAATTTGCACTCATGGAACTGTACAACTTAGCTGTATGTGTCAGTTGGGAAAGATCTGCATCTTTCCATTAGGCATATTATGGCTGAACACCCTGAGATTGGATGTTAGGGGAAATGCTGTTCATCTGTGTTTAAGAAATACACAGAATTTTGATTTAAAATTAAAAAGATCTTGGGGAAGCACTGTCTTGAGCTTCAGAATTCTGAACATGAATTTGGTGAGAATTTCTGTTCCTAAAATTGTCTTGAATTCTTAATATCTTCATGATATTTATGTCAAATGCACTTTGTTGTCCCTGATTTTTCAGAAGCAGTGTGTGTGTGTGTGTGTGTGTGTTTAGTAGCGAAAATTGTAATGTCCTTGAACAGGTGTATGTATCACATAGCCTGGAGTTATTTGGTAAGCATCCTCTTCCCTGCCCTTGCTGTTTCGCTAACAGGTGTGAAAAGATGTTAAACAAATCATGTAACTAATAGTTGTCCTACTTCTAACATTCATTTTAATGATCATCAGTAGAAGACACAGTGTGCAGCTGAGTGGATAGGGAGATAACCATGCAACAGACTTTTGATGTGATCCTGTTGATGGAATTTTAAGGCCTGCAGTAACAGATTTCACCTGTGAAACAATGATACAAATTGTGATCAGCAGCTGAATCATGCTTGGAAGCTATTTTTTCCTAATAGATTAAAATTATTTAATATTTTTATTAATTTTATTTGATAATATGAGATGCATTCTTCAGGTGTATGATTTAACAGGTGAATATATGTTTATTAGGTACTTGTTCTTATGAGCATCTCTATTTAAACTTAAACAAGATCACTGCATTAAGGATTTGCAGACATTTACTTGCAAATGCAATTTACTTTTAAACTTTGTAATAATAATAATTATTATTAACAGGATGATGAATCCTTTAACTTGCACAACAGCAACAGTCTTCATTGTGAGGGAGATCTAAACCAAAACTTTGAAAATGAAATTCCACAGGAGAATGGCAATGCTCAACAGATCATTCGATCTTCAGCTTTTCCTCGGGCAGATGTTCTTTCAAGCTCGCTTGAGGCAGAGCATAGGTATGTACTTTATTATAATATAAACAGTGTTCCTTCATGGTAAGTGAGCATGTCTTAAATTCTTACTAACTCAGATGTCAGAATCCAAAAACTGAGAACACAAAATATTTAATGAATACTGTCAAAGTCTAACTTTCAGACATGCTAATTTAACATGGAATATACTTTATACTAGACTTGTGTAGGGACATCTTAAACTCGCTTTACTAAAAATTTGATGTATTTCATTATAAAGAAATAAAGCAAACTACATGGTGATTTCATCCATCTAATTTTGGTCTGCATGTCTAGGAAAAACAATGTATGTAATTTCTATTTGTATTAATTAATAGTACTTTAAATGCTGCATCTTATATAAAACTCTAGTGAGTTTTTCCTCATTGTTAAAGAAATTAATTATTTCTGTAGCTTACTAGTTGACATTGTCAGTGATATCACAGGAGAATGCACTGGAAAGGGAGAAAGTAACTTCAAAAAAGCATTGAAACAATTCTAGTATCTCATAACACTAGAGAAATACTATGCAGAAAAGGACCTAGGGGTGCTGGTTGACAGCAGCTGAACATGAGTCAGCAGTGTGCCCAGGTGGCCAGGAAGGCCAGTGGCATCCTGGCTTGTATCAGCAATAGTGTGGCCAGCAGGGCTAGGGAAGTGCCCTGTACTTGGCCCTAGTGAGGCCACACTGCAAACCCTGTGTTCAGTTTTTGGCCCCTCACAAAAAGAAAGACATTGAGGTGCTGGAGCATGTCTAGAGAAGGGCAACAAAGCTTGTGTACTCTAGACAAAGGGTCTAGAGTACAAGTCTGATGACAAGCAGCTGAGGGAGCTGGGGTTGTTTAGCCTGGAGAAAAGGAGGCTCAGGGAGGACCTTATCACCCTCTACAACTCCCTAAAAGGAGGTTGTAGCCAGGTGGGGGGATTGGTCTCTTCTCCCAAGTAACAAGTGAGAGGATGACAGGAAATGGCTGGGGGAGTTGAACCAGGGGAGTTTTAGAGTAGATATTATGAAAAAAATTTTCATGGAGATGGTTTTCAAGGATTGTAACAGGCCTCCCCAGGGAAGTGATGGAGTCTCCATCCTTGGAAGTGTTCAAAAAACATGCGGATACAGCATTTGAGGACACGGTTTAGTGGTGAACATGATGGTGCTGCTGTGTTGATGGTTGGACTTGATGATCTTAGAGGTGTTTTCCAACCTTTGTGATTCTATGGTAATAGTGACTGCAGTAGCAACTGATAGAGATTGACAGTGATACTGGTGGGAAATCACAACTCAGTCTGGAGATGAGCTTGTCAATGGAGCTCTGTTAAATTTTTACTGTTTCTGGCAACTACAGAAATGTAGTGATAGATTAGATCAAATTTTTTCTTTTTTTTTTAATGATAAATTCTACATATACATTGGACTAGTGAACTTTTCCTTTTGTCGTACCAGCAGAGGAAACTTTCATGACCTCGTATTTCTCATGAGTATGAAAAATGAAATGTACCCCGCTCTTTTATTCCATCATTGTCTATGGAGGCAGAAAACCTTGGCTGATAGAGGCTGCTGATTTTTGACTAGAAGATAGGTGTCAGATGTAACTCTCATTTGTAAATTCCAACAATTTTGATTTCATAGGGTTTCTGGGCAAGCATCTTCCCTTGTGGTATCCCAGAGATGTTTTGTCTCCATACTGTATCAGCCCTTTGACAGAAACCTCTGCATGTATGTAAACAGATGTTATAAGCCTTTTTCTGGTAAATTGGACTTGAAGTGACAAGGTTACCTCACAGGTTACTTGTGCATACCTAATAACTTATAGGCACATGTTGTACAAAATATATCTTGGGCTTACTTTCTTCTGGGGGAGTTTTCAACATGCAATAATTATATACTCATCCTATTGGTGTCGTTTGTGAATCAGAAGCTTTTTTTTAAAATCTAGTTCACAATTTTAACCATTCTAGAAGGGTAATGTTGCTTTAGAGGGTCAGAAGTCCTGTTAACTTTAGATGATATTGCTTAAAAGTGAGCTATTGCCCTAAATTTTATTTATGTTAACAGGAGCTATGTATTCACTTTACCATACATAATACTGTTAACATCTTTGCTTGCTTGCAGTAAAATTCTCTGCCTCAAATTGCTGTTGCTAAAAATAGCATTGAACTACTTTTGGCATTGCATAATGGCGAGTCTTTTTCTGTATTTCAAATTTTTCAAATGCACATATTCTCTTAAAAGAGAGAAGCTTTGGATGACCTGCATATTATTTCTACTACTTCTTGAGGATTTCGCTGTTTCTGGCTGTCACATTGTCTAGTTTACATTGCAGAGGATACAATTTCCATTTCTGTTCTCAGTCTCCCCCAAATTCCAGGCTTTTATTATGGTTTTAACAACAGTCATTGGTGTCATTGGTCACCTGTAGTAACAGATCCAATGCATGCCCATTCTATTGGGGCCTAGATTTTTTTGCAGGGCATTTCTTGCTGACATCCGGCTAAATGGAATACCTGGCACATGATGGCAACTGTGAGTTCATCTAACTTCCCTGTTTTAGTATATTCTGTTCTTCAGCTCTAAGTGTTAGTTTCTTGTGTCAGTTCTGGCATATACTATAGAAACATCTTTACTTTTCGTGAAATAGCTTTAACCTCCTTTAAGATTTAAGGTCAACAGGTATGTGGTTTGCTTGAAGAAGGTGCTAATCCTTTTGGTAAAAACTTTGCAGCAAGAGAACTTAGTATCTTCATTGTTAAATGTCACAGTATCTTCACCCTCAGATAACCTCTGTTTTCATGGTGTCTTCAGGGCTAAATGCACTTTTTTCTGCTCAGATACTGCTGTCTCACTTTTGGCACTAGCTAAAACACTTATTGTTGCATCTTTGGACATCTCAAGCTTAGTCATGAGAGGAATCTGTCTCCATTTATTTTTTTCCCCTCATCCCAAAATCTGCTCCTAGTTTTAGTCTATCTATGCTGGAATATCAGCATCTGCTATCAGGTGAGACTCAATTGCAAAGAAGTCTATGCTGGCTCTGACATTAGCATGTACTAGAAAAAAGGAAACTATGAGGCCATTGCATCCTGAATCATGCTTCTGTCACTGAGGATCCATGCATTTTTTCTCATGTGCATTGCCTTCATCTCCAAACTTGATGCAGAAGATATTACGGGTCTGAGGTGAGGAACCACCTTTGATGTTTGTTCTCATAGAGGAACATCACCAGCATTCCTACACTGCTGTTCCACCAGAGCAGTTACACAAAGGAGATACATTCTTACTTTTCCACCTGACAGAGATTTCTTGTCTTAAAATGAAGGTAGTTACTTAGATTCTGCTTTCTTCCTGCTTGAACTAGTGTAGCCAGGGTCACTTGATTGTACTAGTCGTTTGCCCTTGATAACTTCTTACACAAATATACTGATGATGGAGGCCTCAGCTTAATGGGCTGTAAAGTTCATAGTCCCAATACCAGATCTACTTTTAAGAGAAGCCCTGTGCAACAACAGCTGAGCTTGCAGATGATCCAAATTCTTTTATCTTTTGCTTTCTTCATTGCTGCAGTCCTGGAGAGCAGCTATCCAATTGAAACAATATGAAAAGCTGTCAGCTTTTTTTCAGCTGGTAACAAAGATCATTGTCCTGGTTCTGGCCAGGACAGGGTTAAGTTTTGCAGCAGCCAGGAGGGGCAACTAGGACCCTGGGACTATTCTATACCACCTCATGTTATGCACAGGGGGCAGAAGGGGAAGGGTTTGAGCCCCCCTTCATTTGAGTTCCAAGCTCTTGCAAGTTCAATCATGTGTGAATCATTCGCCTGCCTTGTACATTCTTTTATTAGCACTCTTGTTACTGTCCATGTTCTTACTTCACTGTTGTTCCTATCTCAACCTGTGATCTTCACCTTTTGTGCCCCAACTCTCCTCATCATCCCACGATGGGGGGGAGGGGTTGGGGAGTTAGCAAGTGGCTCATGGTCTGGGGTGTTTCAGTGGGAAACACTAAATTGGGGAATACTATTCCCAAACTATGACAGCCTTATTTTGGTGCCCAACATGGGGCACAAAAGTTTGAGATAACAACACACCTGACCAAGGCAGATTGGAAACAGATCTGATCTAGGCATTTGTTGTATTAGGTCCAGAGCCACGGGTCACAATGCTGCTTTGTCTGTTCATGTGGTTGTGGTACCTAACCCTGTATATACTCCTGTATATGAACCATGTGCTCTTTGTGGTGCTCTTTTTCAGGAGAGGGAAAGGGATCAGGGTTGTTTTGTTGCTGTACTATGTGATAACAGCTTATGAAATGATAACATCAAGTGCCCTGAGGGTCATTTGGGATGTGCTTTCAGTGTTGTTTTTCTGCCCTTACCCCGGGCGCCACCTCTGGGAACTCATCAATAATTGCACCCAGCCCATGGGAAGAACGGGAGGGGATGATTTTCCCCAGCCTTTCACCCCCTTTTGCTCCTTCAGTTTTGTTACGACAGCTTTTGAGAATTTAGAATTCCCTTTAGATGTTAAGGAAAGCATGCTGCTTCTGTCAGATCTCCTCAGTGCAGTCTACATTATGTTCAGACATACAAAAGGGATATTTAGGAGAGTTATCCAGAGATCTTCCTCAAGGGTGCATAGTCATGAGTGGCATGCAAGGTGGGAGAAAATGGGCCAGTTTTAGACAGCACCCTCAGGGGGAGGAGGAGGGAAGTAATTCAACAGGCACTGTGGTCACTCAAACTGCAGCTGAACCAGAGGAATAACCCATGCCAGTAGCAGTTGCTCCCATACAGAAGAAGAAATCCAAGACAAAATCAGTTCATGTAGTGAAGGATGAAGAGGAAGCAGGGCCCTCAGAACAGCAGGAAGAGACAGAACCAGAGATAACCATCCAATTTCTATCCTCAGGTGAGCTGCGAGACATTAGAAGATTTCATCTGCCAGCAGGGAGAGCACATTATAAGTTAGTTGCTCCAATGCTGGGATAAAGGGGCCCACAATTGGCAACTAGA